AGCTGTTCCTGTTAGTTCTGCCATGTTACTGAAAAAGAGAATAGTTGTCTGTAATAGTGGCCATGTAAACTATGATTCAGTTTGCTTCTGAGATATAATTCACTGCTAAGTTAGACTCATGTGCATGTGTGTATCTACATATGCATATGTTTTGTTTTTGGTTTTTTTTACTATCAGAGTACAAGTCAGTTGATGACTGTGAGGAGTTGGTCATCAATGCTGCAACAACAATCAACAATTTATCCTTCTACAAAGTGAAGAGTTCTGCTGTTCAAGACAAGAAGCTACACATTGCTGAAAGTAAGGACTTTTAAACTAGTACTTTTTGCATAGCTTTTTGAAAGTGGAAGTTATTCATGATATATTTTGACACTACAGAAAATAAAGACACGGATAGTGTTTTGTGGTGTCATATTGCAGGAATATAAAGTTCATAGGGCTAAGTTCTTCCCATAATGATTTCTCATTCTTTTGGAACATAATTCTATGACTTGTGTGAAAGTACTTAGGTTGTTGACAAACCCCCTTCTTTTCTTCCCCAAAGGAATTTGCCATATTGTTTTCTGTTTAGCAATTTTTGCTAGACTTGTTCAAAATCCATATGCCTGAGCCAAAATAATCATGTTGCTTTTTACTTCTAATCAGAGTATGGTAAGAAAGTTTTTTTTTCTTCTTAGTACATTCTAGACCTGCAAAATCTGATTTACATCTGTTTCTGGCTTATAAATTCATTGGAGTATAGGAGTTGTGTGAGTGTGATTCTCTCCCCTCTGACAGCATGGACAATAGTCATATTTTAGTGATGTGTAGGAACTGCATCTGTGTTCTGGGACTCATTGTGTTAATGTTATACAAAAGGTAGAGAGTCTATGTCTTGCATACCTTTCTCTCTAAAAAGACAATACATGGGGGAGGGATGGAGCCTGAAGTTCACACAACAGGTAGAAAGAGGAGTAGGAAAAAATATTCTGGCTGTCAGCCTGGTGCCCTGACTGGTAGACGTCATATTCTCTCTAGGTAACACTTCTGCTGTTCTGTCACGAGTCATTTTATCACCTATAAGCCAGCTGTCTCTTACGGCTAGTTGGAGAAATGTGGAAACAAATGACTTCTCTGCCTGTCCCATTAGCTCTTGCTATCCTGTTTTTATTGTTAGTATGTGGAACAAGTCCCATCATCTTTCCTCTGCCTGAACTGAGGAGAGAGAAAACCTTTTGATGAAGGACCAGCAGGCTTTCTCCTCCAGGAGACATTTTGAGAATACTTACTGTTTGATACAAGTGGTGGATCCCAAAGACAAAAAATAATCATTTCAGATGCCTCTTTAAGACAAGTTCAAGGCATGCTCAGTAACATTCAAAGTCGGAAGTCATGGGAACGAAGCCAACCTCTTTTCTGTACTTTTTTTTCTCTCACTTTTCTGTGGTAGAAGGGTTAAGGGTTGACTGATTTGAGTCCTTTATATGATGGACTCATTTCAGTGGTTCACTTCATACTCATAGAAGACTGATAAATGTAACTTCTGTAACATCGCTCCTTTGCTGTGCACCAAAAACCTACATGGTGGTAGCTCTTCCTAGGAAATGCTGAAGGTCTCATTCTCTCTGCTGAAGTTACATGCTAATCACATGTGAAACTGCTAAGCAGGAAAGCAGCAAGCAAGTAAATGCTTCAGACCAGGGGCAATATTAAGTAGCTGCTCAGAGAAAATGTGTTTGCTTGTTGTAGCAGCACTGAGAGAAAATAGAGCTAATGTCAGAAAATAATTTGAGTTTTACGGGACATCCCACCATAAGACCATCTGTTCAGGATCTAAATCAATTCTCTTGTATATTACAACATTTTTTTCTTCTTTGTCTTCCTGGATTTTCACATGAGCCCACTCAAAACTATAGCAAAACTGGCTCCCATTACAACTGTGCTTAGGCTATCTTCATAACTCCTCATTTGTTCCTTTGCATTTAGCCCCATCTTGGAATTCTTTGTCTCATCTTCAAAGCCCTACACAATTTAGCTCTTGTTCTACCATCAGCTTACCCCCTTCACTGCAACCAGACAGATAGATAACTCTTCCCATTTATTACATTTATTGCTGTCGCTGCTTGCATTCTGATATTTACTGACAAAAAGCCAAGCACGTTTGTGATACACGAATAATTGTTTTCATTTCATTTCTCTGCAAACCAATAGTGCTTTTAAAGCTGTTAATGAGCAACAATATGGATGGAGTTGTGGAGGCTGTCAGAGTCTTTGGCAATCTTTCCCAGTATCATGAGATCTGTGACTTCATCATACAGAAGAAGAGTGAGTTACTTTTGCATTTGTAGGAGTCCTGTTTTTAAATGTCCATAGTTCTAAAAAGGAGAGACTGTTAATAAGCTGTCTTAGTTAAAGGGTAAAAGCAATCTTCTCTGATGTTTTGCACATTAGGCAAATGTTAGAATCCAATAGTAGTCATTATAAGCACCATTTTATTTCAATTTCATTAAAATGGAAATACTGCAGTAGGAAAAATGTGCCATGGTGTGCCTTCACAAACGTAAATACTACAAAAACTCTGTTTTTCCTGAGGAATGTAATTTTGAAATTTCCCTTCACTCCTTCAATTTCTCAAGTCCTACAGGTTGGTAGTGATATGATACGATATGATATAAAATGAGAATCCAAATTAATTCTCATTTAGGTTCATAATCACAATGTTTTTTATTCCCATGTTCAACAGCTTGTTAGCGCTTTGTAACATGCATTTAAGATGTTTGACTACCTCAACAAAGAGGCCTCTTATTTGCCTCTGGGTGAAGTAGGATACAAGTCTTCTCAAGTCCTTTTGCTTTGGGTGTTTAAAGAGCTTTGGGAAAAATGGCAACTCCTTGCTATCCACAGAAGGTGTGTCATAGGTTTAATTAAACACCAATTCACTGTACATTGTTTGTATCTACCTGTCAGTACTCAGTGAGGTGATATGCCACAATACACAACCCCGTCTTTCAAGGGTGGACATATCGCCACTTTTGCAGGTATCTGCAAAGGGAGAACTGACACTTAGTAGCTGGTTGCTGATGAGCTGTCTCAGTCAAAGAACTGAATTTTCCACCTTGGGGAGACTGTGGTGTCGGTGCACCGAGCTCAGGAAGAGCTGAGAAGCTGCCTTCCATTAGGCAAGACTGACTCCCTCGCTGGGGTTGCCTTCCACTGTCTACCGAGTTCAGCATCAGCAAGTGCTGCGAGGTGCTGCACGTCCAGTGTCTGCTTCTTGCCTGTCTCCCGCAGGAGCCCCAGGCTGCAGCAGTGCCAGCTGGACTTGGTGCAGTCTAGAGCAACCCTGCCACTCACGGGGGTAAAAACTTCCCTCTCTCATGCCAAATGCCAAATCCTAGCAGTTTCTGCTGACTGTCCAATTGAAAGGAGGGTGATACTTTTAAGAAAAAAGCTGTAGTTCAGTTCGGTGAACTTAACTTTTTCTGACTGGATTTTCACATTACTTTGGTGTATTTTTATAACTAGAATTTTTTATGTGTTGCTTTGAAGAAAGCTGGTGTTCAGCGTGATATAATAATGACTGTTAGTCTGGCTCATATGCCTATTCTACAAATGTCACAGTAACATGCTACAAGGTTAAATTTTTGGGTAGGGTATCCTGCATTTGATTGTTTTCTAATTATAAATGTTTAATAAGTATGTTGTAATGCCACTTGTATGATAAGTTCATCTTCCCAGTAATACTGTTTCCTTTACAATCCAGTATACAAGTTCATGATTGCTTTACTTGATGCCAAGAACCAAGATGTCTGTTTTTCTGCCTGTGGAGTTCTGCTCAATCTCACAGTAGATAAGAACAAACGAGCTCTTCTGATGGAAGAAGGAGGAATTGGAAAGTAAGTTCCTGATTATGCTTATGAAAAAGGCAAGTTCCAGTAGTTTGGCCAAAGAGTTTCAATCAGATTCTTTTTTATTGGAACCAATAATTTGTAATAAGGATACATACTTAACAGATATTCAGCATCTAATGTTCTTAAAGAAAAAGCCTTTCATATTCTTTCCTATGTTTTTTGCAAAAGCATTACAGTGGTTTAGCCTACTGTAGAGCCAAGAACCGTTGAATAATTTCCCAAAGATCCTCCTGATACATACAGCAGAGGAGAGTACCATACAACAAAGCAACTAAGGCATGGCTTTGCAATAGTTGCTTATGCTTGACTTAACTGGATCCTATGTGGGCTACAGTTAATAGGCACCATTAATGTGTATCTGTTGTAAGTGTGTGCTTCAAGAACTATGATACCCCACATGGTCTCTTGCAATTTTTTTAACTACTTAGTATTGCAGGGAGAACTATCTGATGTAGCTGTGCTCGGCAGAGAATAAATAGCTCCTGAGACTTCTCTCTCCGAGAGTTCAAGTTTAAGGCACTTATACTGTAAGTGGTATTATATCTTGAAAAACCACTGTGGATGCAACACTTGTGGCTTTGATGTTCAGATAATAGCGGATCCAGCTTAATTGGAGCAACGTGAAAGATCATGTTCCTATGTTTCTAAAGCAGTTGATACAACCCACATTTATGAAACAATATGCCTAACTTTGAAATGCTTTCCTGTTCATACATCATATAATTACTTTTTTATACAATGTAAACAATGCGTAGTCTGCTCATCCTTCCTTCTCATGTTCTAGTTAATGTACAAAATATAAAGCTGAAAAAGAAGAATAAAAATAAGTTATAGGCAAATTGAATAAGAAATGTGAGAAATTTCTATTATATAGAATTTCTATTATATAGAATATCGACTATTCTGTAGAATATAGAATCATATAGAATATAGAATTTTCTATACTCTCTCTGAAAATTTGTGAAGAATGAAGGAAAACCAGTAACAGTATGGAATAAATCTAGAGAATTTGGAAGTGATTGTTAAGGAGGTCATCCTGACTGCCAAACCAGCTCTGTGGATTTTTGGAAATGAGGTTACTGTACCAATATATAGTGGCCCTAATAAAACATGGAATTAGTCTCATCAGAGAGTTAAACTTCAAAAAATTAGGGCAAGTTTTTCTGGCTTTTCATTAGATGCCTCCCGGTCTTCCACAATGACTGCCTTCAGAGAGGAGAGAAAAAACAAACCTCTTTTTGGTTGCTTTTCAATTACTGCTATTTTCAGCCATACCCGAATGTAAGAGTTATCCCATGTTCCCTTTACTAATCACCAGATTATAAATCTCACAGTGAAGTAGGGAAGTGAGGGAAAGAAGTTGGGGAAGAGAACAGCAGTGAAGGATTGCTGTTAAGAGAGGTCACTAGAGGCAGCAGGTGAAAAACAATGTTTACTTCTGCTGCCACAGGACCTGTGAACACTGCTGTTTGCAGTTCTGGATAGCTACTGTGTGTAAGCTGGTGCAGGCAGAAAAGTTATAGCTTAATTTCAGAGTCCTGCTTTTGATCTAACCTGCATTTGGTATCTGCCAGGAAGTGAGATTAGAAGAAAGGTCAAGAATCTAATGGCCTTTAATAAAACTGGCATTTCTGAGAGGAGTCCATTTGGAGTGCAGGCTGAGGAAATACAAGAAGGGGCGAGATCTGCAAAATAGTCAGACTTCACGGAATGTAAGAGGTAATTCTGTGAGTCATGGAAGTAGCGAATTCCTTTGGATTTGTCTTCTGGTCAGATCCTCTGATGTGTAATAAGCTGGACGTTCTGACTGAAGCTTTTTCTGCATTCATACCATCTTTTCCAGATGAATTTGTGGTGCCTGATAAGGTTTGTCTCGCATTGCAATCTCTGCTCTAGTGGTAGCCACAGATTTGGGACAGTCACAGATTGTCATGAAATTCATTGGAATCTTAGTGTCTTTGAGATCGTTACATTTGTGACGTATGTGATTGAAATTGGTCAGTTGGGTTAAAAAGTTACAGGGGATGGACAGATGCAGGCAGGCATACGCACATATGTGTAGACAAAAGGTGTGTTCCCATCCTTAAAGAACGAGACTAAATGAAAAGGGGGAAGCTACTGAGGAAGAAAGTAGCGTCTTAAGTTTATTAGTGTAGAATTTTCTTGCAACTTTCTTGGAGTCTGCATATATTTCTAGACTGCCTAGATTTTGAAGGGCTCAGGAGAAAACCACGTGGAGCAAAACACTGTTTTTGTTTGGTACTGACAGGTTAGTTGACTGTTTACAAGACTTTGGGCCGGCTGACTGGCAGCTGGCTTGTTTGATATGCAAAACCTTGTGGAACTACAGTGAAAACATCACAAGTGCGGCCTCATGCTTTGGAGAAGATACCGACACGTTACTGGTGCTGCTCACATCACTCTTAGGTGAGATTCATAATCTTGGTCTCTTTTCCTTAATAAGAGAAATAGAAGGAGCAAAATCAAAGCAGTATTAGTTTGGGTGGGAAGTCTGTCATGCAGCTTTAAGTGGTTGGCTGGTATAGACTATCCAGCAACACAGGGGTCTATTGCCATTCAGCACATTCCCTCAGATCTTACAGATTGCCAAGGTGGAATTGGCTGCTGTCACTCCCCACTCTAGTTTGTCTAGTTAGCATGCCACTAATGCTTTTCACCAGCTGCCCTTTTGTCTGCTCGAGCCAACTATCCCGTAGACCTTCAGCGCAAAACATACTTTTCACTGGATGTGGGCCCTTCTGGCATCAAAGGTCATTGCAGGTATTGACAGAAGCGGGGGCTCAGCTGTGATGCTCCTGGCTACTGCACAGCACACACCGGGCAGTCTGGGAAATATGGCTTTTCCCCTTAGTCAGAGGGCTCTGTGGTGCAACAGGCTGAGCTTGCTGCTTGTGACAAGAGTCCCTTGGCTGCCCTTCTTTTCTCACCACGATCTCCTTGTGGGCAAGGACATCATCCTGACAATTTCTCATCTACTCCCTAAAGCTAGGGAGAGTGTGCTCCTCCACAAAGACAGGCCGGAAGGTGTCGACAAGTGCATGTTAAGACCCTGATTCGCTTACCCAGTTGGATCTTTTCATCTGCACATTTATGTTTGCTTCAAATTTTATAGAGTTTAATTGCTGTGTAATAGTCCTATAGTCACTATATTTAATTATCCTCCTTTATTTTATGAGCACTGCTTTGGTTATGATTTTATTTTGGGTAGGTCATTTGCAATTATCTTTTTAAAAACATCTTTAAAATGTAAATGAAATTGAAGCAAACCTTAACTAATTTTGATTTGGTTTTAATTGGAAATTTACTAAAGATATATGCTTGCTGTGGAGAAGGCTGCATGTTAGTCAGACCCAGATAGAAAGTGAGATCCTTGTGGTCTCTTTTGTTTTTAGACAATCAGAAAAGTGGGTGGATTTGTGAGGATTTTTTTCCAGTTACAGCAGAATTACTGTTATTCATTGTTGTAATCATTCCTTGCATTACATTCCTTGCTATGATAGAGCATATCTTAATGTGGGCAGTAATTCCATCTATTTATCTGAAAATACTTAGTGTTTCAAGATCATTAGTGCACTTTTTAACATTCTGCAACAGAACTGCAAACTTTACAGCCACAATCATGCTTGAATTTTCTGGCATGCAGCAATGAATATATATATCTTTGTTTTGGAAAATTCTTACTTATTTTTTCCTCTGCATTTAACATTGCTTATTCCAGCAATTAATTTGACTGCAGAGTCCAGACTGGGTAGTAACTGCAACTCTCATTAACTAGTACAGCTTTCGTGAACTAGAATTTCATGTACAATTGCAATTGCAGTTACAATTGCAATTGTAATGCAACTGTAATGACAATTAATTAAAAATAGGTCAGAATTAAATCAGAAGGCTAGTCTTTCTTCACACTGTAGTCAGAAGAGTAGCTGTAGAAAAAGCACATCCTATTCACTGGATCTGGTTTCTCTGTGTGTTAAGAGCCAACAAATTTTAGTAATAGCAGCTGGTTAATATTGTCCTACATCTTCCTCCTCCCATTGTATCCAGTAACAACCTTGAACTGTCTTTGCTCCGATTCTATCATTCAGGAAGCAGGAGGCAACTGCTGACAGTCAGTGGACTGTACTTAAGCATCAGCACGCCTTCAGGAAGCAGAAAAAGTGGAGCATGGCACAGCAGATACGTCACTTCACCTGCTGTGCTTGGCCTCCTCCCCTTTATTTTTCTTTCCCCTACCTGGCACAAGATGACAGAAGATATGAGGGAGCCAAAAGGGAGTGGAAATAGCCTGAAAAGATGTTGGGCCAGAGAAAGGCTGGACAAAAGGCACCATTTGTTTCTCTTTTTCCCTGCCTGATCCCAGCAGCCTGAGACGCAGTGGCCCTGCTTTCCCATGGCACTGTCATTTGCCTTCTTTCAGCTGCTCTTGAGTCTCATGTCACTTTATTGGCTCAGAGCTCCTGGAGGCTGGTGTTTCCAGGCCCCTGGCAGCAGCTTTGCCTTGCCCTGGTCCCTCAGGAGTAGCAGTGGAGATGAGCCTCTGTCTTGAGAACATTCTTCTGTTTGGTCCTTCAGTGAAATCTCCTTTCTCTCTCTGTTTTTCCAGACCTTTCTTCTGCTCACCTTTACCTCCATTATGAATTTGAGGAGGTTATTTTGGAATCTCAGTACATGTGAACTCTTACGTGGCATGATACTAGCTTCAAGGGCTGCTGGCCCCTGTCTTATTTGAGTTATAGAAATGGGTAGCCCTTGCAGACTAGAGTCTGTAGTCTAGTTTTCAGCTTCCCCTATAGCATTCAGACGCAGTGTGCTTGTGTTGTTCCTGGGCTTGCAGCCAGTTCATATGCTGTTTGGCCAGTACCCAATTTTGCTAGTTTTGAGGAGGGTCGTGGGAAAATTAAATTATCTGAGGATGCACAGCTTGCATGTGGGATGCTGATCCTCGCTGATCCCCAGTGTTACTCTCATTCTGCTTTGGGAGATTTACTGTTTTGGTTCAACACTTCAGCTTTTGAACTGGTTCTGACCCTTGTTCTTGTAGGCTGGAATTCCCGACCTCACTGATTCCACAAACATTCAATCAACTTCTAGGGGCACAGCTGTCTACTAAGAGGGAGAAATGTCTCTTGCTCTGTGTTAGAAGATAGTTAATTTGGGTAGGAAAATAATTTCAGGAGTAGGCAAAGCAATTCTGCCGGAGAACAAAAACCATAATCCCTTATCTTCCTCTTCAGGGTCTCTCACTTCCCTGCAGCTGAGATTCATTTTACATATGTTAGGCTACTGTGCCATGGATAGGACAAGAGCTAATGGGCACAAGTTGCAATAAGAAAAATTCCAATTAAGTATTAGGAAAAGAAGTTCCCACCGTGGCAGGGTCAAGCACTGGAACAGGCTGTCCAGACAGGTTGTGGAATCTCCATCCTCAGAGATGTTCAGTACTCAACAGTATATGGACCAGAGCAACCTGATCTACAGTGGCTCTGCTCCAGAGGTCCTGTCCAACCTAAATTATCCTATGATACTATCAAATATAGATCTGATGTCTGAGGCTGGGTTTTATCTCTGATTACAGGTTTTTTCCCTGCAGAGATAGGACATGTCTTCCTTCATGAAAGAATTTTTTTTTTTCCCCTCTTTATTTTATTACAGAAAGCCTCTAAATGTCATCTTCTCTTTAGGCAGAACCCCTTTCGGAATCTACCTCACGATCAGCATCTCTTTAATTTTGGTAATTTAGAAACACTGTAGAGACATATAAGTCAGGTGTTGTTGGCAGTTACTGGTAACTTTCTATGAAATGGAGCCCATCTCCATGCAAGAGTAATGTCGTCTCTTCCTTTATAGCTGTTGCAGCTCAGGCCATATGCTCTGCATAGGCACCTTGGCATTCTTTTAAATGTGAATAGCTGCTGTTTGAGCATCCCTTTTCTACACAAAGTTTGACTCAAAGTGTGGGTAACTGAAGTTTCTCTTCAGCTCCAAGTTGTCTCTTACCTGCTGTGAATGTGCAGTAAGCTCCCTTACAGAGTTACTTATTTAACAGAGTGTGAATCTGGTGCTCTTTTGTAGTCTAGGGCAAAGATAAGTCACACTGCCCATGGGGTGCAGGATTGTATCTTCATTTTAGGTCTGCTTATGGCCTAAAGGCTGTCAAATATCCTTCTGTTAAACTGCATGAAAACATTTGTTCAGCATTATCAGTTGTGTTTGTAGATTGCTGATTCAGGAGCATGCTTCTGGTTGCAGACTGATTTCTTTTTTCTGTAAGTTTGTTTCTTTGCCATATCCAATGCCAGGCAAAATGGAGGGGGAATAACAAGTCATGACTTGCTTTCATTTCTAACATTACTTGTCTCTATTAAGAGTGTCCTATTATTAGAGAAGGTTGTGAGAAAGGGAGGGCATTAGTAATATAGTAACCAGCGTGGTTTGTATTCTTTAAGTATGATAGTAGATACAGTTTGAAAGTGTCTTCATGAACCAGATTAGCAAAGCAATTTGTGACAGGAAAAACATAGTTATACTTAGATGAATACGATTACTTACATTAGCAAACCTGTGCTGTGAGTAATGTTAAAACCTGAGTAGTTTCCAGGCTGACAGTCACAGTAAATGCTTGATCTCAGAGACACAGTTTAGCTGCACCTGTGAGGTGTAAGAATAATAGAGCCTGCAATACCCTTTTTACTGTTTTACTGACCTTAAAATTCTTTATTTTCAATTAAAGCTAAGTCCCTCAGACAGTGATGCTTAGTTAAACATGGAGTTGTTTTTAAGCCATAAACACACACAATGTTTAAGTTGAATGTGCTGTAGTCAAAAAACACAAGGTTGGGTATATTTTTATTCAGAATTTATGATGATATTTTCCTTGATTACAGATGAAGAGCTAGCGTTGGATTACAGCCTCGACAGAGATTTAAGGGACTACCACAAACTATATTGGGAAAGGGAGTTCAAACCTGTGGCAGAAAAACTGCTTGACAGAATTCAAAGCCATCACTCCTTTCTTCCAACTGTGACGATTACTCCATTTTAATTAGTCCTTTTTTTTTTTTTTTTTGTGGTGTAGATTGTACAGCTTTATATTTCTAATATACCTGTACGTTGCCATTGGTAAGCACGTTGGAGAACATGGGAAGTTAATTTTTAAAAAGTCAGTAAAGCCTGGTATTTATATACTGGATACTATCTTTTGAGAAGCTTGTATGAAATTTTTGCATGTGTAATTACTTTTTACAGTATATTTGAGCTGATCAAGCAGCTGTTCAGTGTGATCTGTCTATTAATTGCATAGTTTCTTGGCTGGGAAAATGAAACAAAACTATTTGCTGAACTTTTCATTTTTAAAAGGTAAATTACCACTGAGTACCTGGACCTCTGTGGTACCAAAAATGCTGTGCACTATAAAAGAACATTACATGACAGGAGCCGCATCTTACCCACAGACTTTGACACACTTTCACTTTATATGAAATTCTGTGACAGAATAACCCAAATGCTATTGGAGCATTCTGCTGTGCTATATCATAAGCTTCACTCGTCAGATTGAATGCTGTCAGTGGTCAGGGGGAGAGTTGCTCCCTTTTCCTTTGGAGATCCCCTTTCTTTACCTGATACTGTGTGGCTAGGATATCCCAGCTCCTGCCTTGGCGCTTGTGGGATATAGGTCCAGCTGTGCTGGAAAGAGACTTTTCCGAATTGGGACTTCACATCTTAAGGCAAAACACCCATATCCCTGACGTAAGAGAAGATTTTAGCTAGTCTGGTGTGTTCTTCTTTCGGTTGTTCCCCCATTGCCAGGAGCCACCTGTGTGCCTGTAATGCTGAGACCGTCTTGGGCAGCCGTCTCCCCTGGGCTTGTGTTTCCATCCACGGGGCAAAAAAAGGCTCTACATCCTTCACATTCCTTCTGACTGCTGCAGGCTCGTTTATTGCTTACTTTTCATCCTTTCAGTGTGTAGAAGTCCCTGCGTTTACCCCATGGATTAGCTCAGCAGGTGCATCACTGGCCTCAAGCGTTAACAGTCCAATTAGCCACAGAAAGCTTTACAGACCTGACCCATTTCTCTCTCTTCAGACCTCAGATTACTAAGCATAAAGCACTGCGCAGGGGCTGCCGGGCTTCTGGCTCTGATCCTGAGGGTCAGCAGCCTCGCACTGCTGTGTGCGCCAGGAGAGCAAGTCTCCAGCCTGGCAATCCCTGCAGAGAGGCTGGAGGAATTTGTTTTTCTGAGGCAGCAATTCAGAGCTCCCTCCGTGGCACCGCTGTACCTTTGGCAGTGCCCGGACCTCTGCTTCCAGGTGAGGAGATGAAGCAAAGAGGCTGGGAAGTAGCACCGTAGTAGAAGGGCAGGGAAACTTTTTTCCTCGTGTAGGTCCCTCTTTCTACATTCTTGGGGACTTCTTTACTGCTGATGGGTCCAGGTTTTGGGAGCAGTGAGGAGGAAACTTCAATGAAGGTAATGAAATTTGCACCATTCCTTTTGTCTCAGCAGCTTGGGTGTTTCTTATGACCAGCAAGGCTCAGCCCTGCAGTGAATCGCTTAGGGAGCGCATGTGGCAGCCTCCATCACCGCAATCTGCAGGAGAGAACTGCTCAGCATAGTTTGGCTCCAACAACAGCTCTGCTGAGCTCAAAAAGATCCCAATTATCATCCCTTCTTTTGCCATTTAATTTTAGCTGAAGTTGAGGGGGAAGATGAATGTTTCAATGCCCCATTTGTTTCTTGGAAAAAAGAATGGATTTGCTTTTTGGGGGTATTAAAGAAAGGATGATGGTAAGCACTCCCTTGTGGAGAGGGAGCTAGAGGCATTTGTTCTTGACATTCGCATCAAGGCAAAAGGCAGGCAAACACCAGGCTGTGTAACGGGGGGCAGGGGTGCAGTGGAAAGGGCCTGGTGGCCAAGTCCTGTCAGCAGGTCTGATCAGAACTGAGTTTCTGTCAGAAGGCAGCCTGAAACTGGCGTTTCACTCAAGTCAGGGTAGATATGTAGGCAATTAGGATTTGTTCAAAGAAAATGCTAGTTGTGTCAGTCATTACCAATCAAACTGTAAACAAGGGCCTGGAGCACTGTGTAGTGTGTGTCTCCAGTAGCACAGGGCAAATTTGGGTACCCTGTAGTGGTGCACAAAGCTGGAGCAGCTGCTGTGCGTGAGGTCTGCCCTCGTGTTCAGAGTTTGGCCTGTGACTGCCTCAGGAAGAGGCACATTCAGAGGTGCGGGGTAGAGCAGAGCGGGCAGCAGAGGCCTCAGAGCACCTAACACCAAAACCCAGCAGCGGCTCCTGTGGAGCTGCACGGGCCCATGTCTTTCTCTGAACAAAACTTGTGGGTAACAAGAACGAACCCGAAAATGCTGAATTTGTGATGTATTCTTATGGTTTCTTCTGCCATTTGGGTGTCTTTGCCACACACCTTAATGCAGCAGCTCTCTTCTGCCTTCAGGAGCCCATTCCTCTTTAATGACTTGGCCTCTGTCATGCTGCTCTTCTTTATCTGGGGTGGGGTGGGGTGTGTGTGCACGTGCATGCACAAAGTTTTGAACTGAACCTACAAAGAAGATGGAAAGGCAAAAGCTGCTGGGGAGGGCTGTTAATCGCTGCTCGCGGGGCAGATGGCTCTGCCACGCTCCTCTAAGCACAGACACCAAAGAAAATCCAGTTTTTTTTTTTTTTAATACTGGGCCCATGCAGCAGCCAGCCATTTAGTTCCCTTCACTCATGCTTGTGCACCCCATCTCCTTCCATGCATTGCCTGGCCTTTTGGACAGGACCCCCCGCCCACATGGTCTTTTGGGCTGAGGCTCTGCCAGAGCTACTCAGGAGCCATCAGGGCTTGCAGCTTGCAGCAACAGAGGGCAGCTCACAGCTGCCCGTGACGGAGGCAGTGCAGTGGCGTGTCCCTCATGCCCTGGCATCATGCACAGCTGCTGCTCTGTGCAGCCATTCCCACTTTCCACTTTCATGGAGCACCTGGTGACTTAACCATTTTCTTGTTTTTAAAGATTAACCCCACCAACACCTTTGGTTGCCACTGTGCTTAAGAGCCTTGCGTGTTCTCTTTTACTTCGAACCACAAATGCCTCGCCATTTTTCATTAAAAATCCCCCAACTTTTTCAGGTCCTTTCGCCAAAGTGAGTAAGTAGCACTGTTGTGTAGTCAGGACTGTCTGCGTGTTGTGGTTAGTGTTCTGCTTGAAAATGTGACCATATGAAGCCACTGACACACACACATGGACACACAGCTGCAGGTACCTGCCTGTGTCTGAGCGTGTAGGATGGAAATGGCCAGTTTAGGCTTCTCAGAAAATTTCATGTCTACCTTTGACCCCCCCAAAAAAGCAGCAGGAGAATCAGGTGCTGGAGAAACTCCATGTACTGGGAAGACACTTTTTCTGTGTCCTTAGGCATAGCTTAGCTTTATGCTTAGACAGGAAAGTTTTGCTCGTTTTGGAACATTAAAAATCCCGTATTTTTAGTTCAGAGGAAACAGCAGATGCTTCCTGTTAGTCACAATTTTTGACAGTTTATTAATCTTTCTCCCCTAGATCTTTTTAGATATTTTACCCTCTAGGACTATAAGCTTAAAACTGTTTGCAGAATGTTCTGTAGCAAGAGAAACCAGTCTGAGCTAACTGAGAACCAGGCCAGGGGACAGAAATCTTAAGTTAATTCTACCTGTGGGCTTGGGAAAATCAAGTTTCTTTCCTGCCTTACAAATAAGGCTCCTTACCTTCCTGTAAGCGGGTAGGAGTTTCTACGCTTGATTGTACTATAACCCCCGTTACAGCCAGCAGTAGGAGTAAGTCCAAAAGAGTTTGTCACTCCCTGGTAGCAAATCCCCCTCCCCTGCCCGTGCCTCAGTCTGACTGCACAGACCTGACCATCCTTCTGACGCCCCAGATATCCTTTTGGCACTAGCCTATGAAAATTAGCAGCCTAATCTGGAATTAAGTTCACTACTGAAGGATTTTAAAATCAGTTTAACTCTCAAAATAACATTTAGACCTAGTTATTCAAAATAAGTGATACATAAACACACAGTTGGAGTCTCCAATCATATCACAGCCATTACCTGTGAGGAGAGAGAAAACCCTATACGACAGAGTATACCTGAAGAGAGGATGGAGGACTATGGGAGGGATGAAAACATCAGGAATAGATGAGAGGTGTTCCTACTATAGTTTTAGTGAAGCCCTAAATCTATTTTTTAAACGTTGTTTTCTCCCATCATTTTACACTCAGTTGAAAAAGTCATGGTTTGTCATTTTAAGTATGTTTGCTCAGTTACTGTTTCAAACATTTTAAAATGGTCTTTGAACCAGTAAGTAAACCAGTAAGAACAGAAGCGTAAAGTTAAACCACACAAAAACGCCAAGAGAAAAAGTTGTTACCTTTATTTAAAAAATACCAATAATACTGACAAATTTAAAAAGCAATTCACACTCATACAAAAAGTATTCATGTGTTCTCCAAAACCACTGTATATTAAACGTCAGCATTTTAATCATGTTTTGATTTACTAAAAATAGATGGTTTTTAGCCTAGTTATTTAAGCAACTGCAAAAATCAGTAAGACCAGCGTTGGGCATGTAATACAGTAGGACTGGCTGGCAGTCTAGAACAACATTCCCACACCTTGTCCTAGCTCCTGAACAGGTATCGGTTCATCCTTGAAAAACAGGACAAGAAGCTACTCGCCGCTTCACATAGTTAGATCTCTAAAAAGCTCTGAGGACTCGAGTCCTCCTCTTTCCATAGGAAGACCATTGCACTTGGAGCCCACCAAATAATGCTGAACAAATGTCCTGTAGCATTTTAAGGCTAAACTATTTGAGAAAATTGACTGCTATCTTTCAAATTATCAGTGTGGACAGAAGAGGTTTAGTTCTGATTAAAAAAGAAATCTAAATAACAAGGCTTTTTTGAAACCACACACAATAAAGGCTCAGACAATAGCAGTGCTCACTTTCACTTTTAGCTTAACTGGAACAGCCTGTGTCTGTTCACTCCACCAGCACAAATAGCAGCATCAAGATTTTCTAAAATTATTCTCATAGGGAAAGCAAATGTCATCAAGTCCCACTTCTTTTCACGCTCCAACTCCCGTAGTATTTGCCTTAACACAAAATCTATATATCTATCATTTGCTATATTGCCACAAGTTCATAGAGTGTCCCGTGCTGTCTAAAGCCAAAATACAGTGAGCAGGCAGCACTTCTGCACAACCCTGTCAACTGCCAAGCGTTCACTGCCAAGTGGCAGCAGTGATATTCCAAACACGGAAATAGCTGAAACTAAAGGAGTTATGGCACAATGGGCATCTTAACTTATAGCTACCGTTGGTCCTGAGGCTTCGAATCTTCCTCTGCCATACTGCAGCTGCAGAACATTCCAACGTCGACAGGCGGCTGGAGACATCAGGTCATATAGCGAGTAATAGCTCTCAGAGCATAAAGTAGTTCGGCTTGCATCCGAGCTTCTACCAGAAGCAAATTTACATGGACCTTCGGGAAAGAAAAGAAGTTACGCTTTAATGGCGTGCTCACAATAACGTACTCCAGTGAAAGGAAGTCCGTGGGGCTGTAGCTTTCGTGTTAGAGTTTGCAATAGCACTGGGGAGCACTTTGCGTTTCAGCTACCCAGATAACGAGTTCTATCTGTAAAGCTTGCCGAGGGAGGAAAGAGCGAACAAGCGCTGCATGAAGTATTGCAGCACAGTGCCGCAATGGCCACAGGGACGCTTCAGCAGGGCCAGGAAGGGGTTGTCGCCCTTCAGCAGACCAGCTGGTTTAGGTGGAAGAAACAGACAAGCTTTCAAGCACACAAGCCCTTCTTCAGCAGCAGACTATGCGCAGCTTGAAAATAATTGTTCAAATTTAGCTTAATTAAGTGAATCAATGAAAGGCAAAAGGGTGGTTGGTACCTGCAGCGCAGAGGGGGTTGTTAGCAAAGGAGGAGGTGATAAGGTCGTTTGCCCCTGTGGGACCGAGAGAAACACACAGGTAATTATCACCTGAACAACGTGGAGTGGTTAGCTGAGGTGAAGCACAAGAAAAATTGCAACATGCCATAAAACGATCATCTTTATTGAGACAGAGCTGTTCAGTAGCTACCGGAGGTAAGGATTGTAGTTCCCCAGCTCATTCCTCAATGTCTTTACTGTATTTCTTTGAGGATGAGATCAGCAACCGTGTGGGGGAGGGGGTGAAAAGTATTCTCTCACTGACAGCAGGTTGGCTGCGAGCTTGCTTTGGCATGTAACAGCTGTGTGTGGTTTCATTCGCATGATTTCCATGAGGATGGATGGTGATTGCATTCAGTGACACATACATGTACGATCCTTGGATTTTGATGGCTATGGAGATGCAAAGTTTTGGGCTTTAAAGAAGGATTTGTGTGCTTGAAAAGCTCGTCTCTATCAGTTAGTCTAACCAAAACAAACACATATAGTATTTTACTTGAACAACCTTAAATGATTGTAGTTATAGCACCCCTATTATAACTGGGTATCTCTAAACTATTTTCAGAAGGATTTTAGCAAGAAATAGAGCCTCTGATGATATGAACACTGGTTATGGCACATTTATGTTTCAGCACTGTATCAGCATTCATTTTAAGTGAGGCCTAGAAATACTTTTCCAAAGAAAAACTGGAGGATGTGAACTTGATGGAGTTAACAGCAAGAAATATTACTGGGAGGTGCAATTCAGACTATAACCCAGCAGCAGGACTTCAGGCTTTAACAGGAAGTAACTGCTTTGGGGCCATTCGCACTAAAAATGACCACAGGACTGCAAAGAGCAAGCAAGCTGCTCCGGGTCTGAGGCCAAGGGATGGATCTCGCGTGACTTCCCTGCCCCTCTGGGACAGAGGCAGTACCAACCGACAGCGGAGGAGAGAGCTGCCGTCAACGTGAAGCTGTACCATTTACATGTCTAACCTCCCCAGACAGTTCAGAGCTTGCGCAGCCCATGTCAGCTGTTCGCTAGCAAACATGCAGTAGGAAAAGAAAAATTATTTCAGCCTGGGAAGTACTACACCTCCTAACGAATTTACTGAATGCGAGCAGAGTCCCGGTAACGTCAGCTAAAGCTTAAATGCTAGCTGGGTAGCTGTGGCCGTTAGCAGGGCAAACAGATCTACTGCCCGTGTCCCTCAAGCACGCATGCCAACTGTACCTTCTCAGAGTGTTCAAACTGCCTCCAGAAGCTATCATACATTCTTTTTGTGGTCTTTTCAGGAGTGCAAACCACAGTCTTGATATAAACTTTAAAGCTGCGATCCAACAACTGATTAATTTCACCGTAGTCATAATCATCGTATCTGTTCGGATTTGAAAGAAAAACACTTTCATTTTCAAGAACCAGTTATTTCACTTGTATTGTTTGCAAGTTCCTATGGCAAAATAAATTATTGTGTGATTGGTACCACTACTGGCCCTTCCCCATAAATAAAAATATGTTTAAAAATACATCTGTGTTTGCGTTGTTAGCCAATGCTAGTAAGTCTGATGCATATAGAACAAAAGTAGTAAAACTGACCTTATTCCAAACATACAATGGATATAGTTCCAAATAGCTCGTCTTAGCATTGAGGTATCCACATCTTTGTGCATGGCCATTGTGTTGTAAGTCAGATTATAAGCAATATGAAACTTCTCATCAAGTAGTTGTCCCACATCTGGGTAAAGACGATTAACCAAGGAATAGCCATGGTCTTCCCAGGAATAATCCTTAGAAGAAGTGAAAATGCAGAATGGAGCATTTCAGAAATGAACTTGTGAAGGCCTACTGCTTTAATGCAATTTATCTCAGGGCAGATAATCCAGTGGGGAGGTGGGGGTTGTTCATTTGCTTGCATTAAGCCTTCTCGTCCACGGGGCAGTAAGTTACAGCACAGCAATTTCCGGGTTTGGTATTTGGCACAACAAACAGATTGCGCTCTAAGCCTCCTGAGAGCACCCCCCATCCTTGTTACCTGAACACGAAAGGTGGGCACGTGCATTCCATGTCTGGAGAAGTCTTTGTAACCATAGCTGGTATCCTCAAAGTGACGAGACACATCTCTTGTTGGTGCCGATTCTTCATCTTCTGTGAATTTCAAACAGAATTTCACACAATTTCAGTAAGAACAAACTGGAAGCGTGCTAGCGGAACTCTTACAGAAGAATGGGAGTCTCTGTGCTTTTTAAATAAACACACAGTTTCACTGGACTACCCATATTAAAATTCTTTGGTACAGCTCAGTGTGACTGCAACTATGGTTTTTAGAGGCAACTCCATGAAAACCACTCAGATTCTTTCTTACAGACAAACACCTTTTTCTCCCTTCTTTTATGTATCAGTCTTCACTCTATCTCCTAAGTCTAGGAGATACTTTGCTCCTAACTCAAGGGGTCTGTAAAAATGTCAAGGGAAAATGTGCTTTGGAATGGAGAGCTTATTAAAAAAGAGACCTCTAAGACTTCCATGCCAAGTTTATTTTAGAGGAAACTCTGTTGAAGAGCCCACAACAACCCTAAGCTTGTAACAGATTAATTATTATCCCACAGTCATCTGAAAAGTAATGTTTCATACACTTAAATATAGCTAAGTGTGTTAAGGACTTCTTTCTACAATGTCTTGTGAGATGTTTAAATCTCTTGTGAAACTTTTAAATCAAGAGAGAGATTCCATTTCTGTTGGAAATTTCTGTTAAGCATAATACTGGTCAGTGAGTGTTATGGTGCGTTTGAGAGAAGCCACAAATCTTGGCACTACTTTTCTTTTAAGTGTTACTGGAAGCAAACAAGGCACCCCTAATCTTGATCCCTTCAAAGAAATGGTAATGTTTTTGAGACATCTAATACTACTGCAAAAGGAAAAAAAGTGTTAAGTATTTCTTCAAGTGATTTGGAAAAGTCTAAATAAATATATATACACAGTACATCTGTTCTACCTGAAGAACACACGAACATGCTTTCTCTCTTCTCTCTTTCAAAACGTGTGGCCATCTCTTCTTGGCTGGCTTCCTCTTCATCTCTACACTCCTGTAGCTGCTTCATTTTCTCCATAAGAGCTTTAACTTCACAGACAGACTCTGTAGACTTGAAAAGGAGAGAAAAACACTTCATTTCCATGTAACAAGAACTGACAATGATGGCAGAAATCATCAAGCCAGAAAATTTAAACGCAAGCTATGTCCTTCATTTACATCTTTAAATACTGATTTTTTGAGGAAAACAGTTCTTGAAAGAAATCTGTACTGACCCAACAGTTCACATTTAGTCATCATCTTTTCTCAATTAGATCCCTGGTATTTTTAGCACATTTTAAGAATCACAACTTTTTGGAACAAGTGGTTCTCACACTAAAATTAATCTATCTTACTTAATCTAAATGTTTCACAACAGAAAAACATGGAGCTGTACAGAAATTCTGATAGAGGAAGTAACCACAATTTACTACCCAACTGTATTTTTCCCCTTCTCTGTTCACAGAGAAGAAACATGTTGAAGGAAAAAGGAAGAGTGAGTGTAAATGCAGATTTAATGAAGCCTCAAAGAAAAGCTAGTGCAAGATAATCTGATTTCACAAGAACTGTTTTAACACCACAACACGCTATTAATTCAATATCTGGTCTTGTAAAAATCCATCAGCGCAAAGCAAAATAAAGTTATCTTCAATTTACACAGTTCTGCCCCTTTCCTCTCTGCCTTTTGCAGTTTGCTCCTTCAGAGAACCAGCAAGCTCCATCAAACGAAATTTAAATGTCACCCACACCATTGCAGTAAAATCTCACAAGCAAGGAACCTGCTTTGAAAATACCCTATTATCACTGTTCTTAAACCAACGCCTAGTTCACATCATGCTTAGATGCAAGATAGAAGCAAGTACAGATCAGTGAGTGTAACTGCTGCAGCCAGGAAATACTGTTTTAGAGACAGAGTCAGAAAATTGTGAATGATCTGCTGTGTGATGTATCACATACACCTCAAGGCAACAAAGTCAAAGACTGGAACCAAAGGAAAAGCCAACTTTCCACTGCACCCACAAAAAAAAAGCATTCCTGGCCACTGCTGCTCAGGACACGTGTCATGAACTAGCTGAGGCCAGGAGTCGTCTCAGTTTGCCTATACGAATGACAAGAGACCAAAAAAAAAAAACCAACCAAAAAAAAAAACCTGAGAGATTGTATTTTTGTCTCTCCCTTCAGTAACCTCCCCCAGCTTACCGGTGTCATTTCAGCTTCTCCTAAATGTATCTTTTCAACTGGTTAGCCCTCATCTGGATTAGGCTAATCAATCCAGCTCTCACTGAACGAAAAGAGACAGGCATCCTCCGTGTATTAAGTTTACAAAGAAACTACTACTGTTGAAAGAGATTGTTTGTTCAGACGGATACTTACTGGAATACTTCCAGTTGGGCTGGCATGAATTTCATCCGCCCCGTGGTAACCATTTGTAATATCGCATATGCAATAGTTACTGACGGAAGGGGGCCTGAAGGTGTGACCACCTTCACAGTCGATCTCCGGGCTGATTCCACAACCAAACGTGAAGGAAGCAAGGGAGTGGTACTGTGTCAGGAGAACGACCGCGTGGATCAGCTCTGCCAGGGACCAGCTGTTCTCTTCAGTCTTCAAAAGTTGCTTTAAAAATAATGCAAGACAAAAATATTAATTTAAGTCACTCAAATAATCCCTCCTTAAGGCAGTTTATCAACACATTTCTTCACCAGATAAAATTATTTTTCCAAAGTCCATAATTGCTTCCTAACTCTCTGCTGCCATTAGTGTGCTCAGTGTCCTGTTACCAGGTTACCTGCCAGCCACAGACTCATGTGGTTAAGCCACACAGGAGATGACTTCTCTCCCCTCTCTGGCCCTCAGCTATTGAATCAGTTGGGGTTTCTATTTTGCACCATATGGTCTGTATTGAGGCCAGACCAACTTGCATTGAAATTTCACACCTCTGATGAAGATGCAACCACAACAGTCACATGTTTCTTCAACTGGTCTTTACAGTCTCAGAAAACCCTGGCAACTCCTTGCGGATCAGCTGTGTAAAAACCTGGCATCAGGGCCGGGCTCCCTCCATCTTGTCCTTGTGGGTGGAATGCTCTACATTTGACACGAAGCTTCAAACCCCAACTTCCCCTTCAGGCAGGAAAGTGTGGGAGGTTTGGGGCCTTCTGGCAGAGCGCGCACCCTCCCCCACAGCCCAGCGTCCTGCCTCCCAGCAAGACCTGCCACTGCCTCTCCACCCGGCAGACAGCGCCGAGAAAGTCCGGGCACCCACTTCCTTCTTGCTAAGGTAAAGAGAAGAGCAGAGGAGCAGGAGTTGCTTCAGCAACCACGGTCAGGCCCAGGGCAGGCGTGCCCCTGCTGTGAGAGCTGCCGTCGCTGCAAGCACGCTGCAAGTGCCCTCGAAGCTGGCTGATCCAGGCAGCCCTCAGAGGAGGGGGCAGCAGAAGCAGACGCTTGGTGCCTTGGTGCCGCAGCCCTGGCTGGCTTGTACCACCACCGCTCCCCTGGGCTGTCCTGCCAGCCTGCTCCCTCCAACCTGGCCTGAAAACCGAGCATCTGAATCAGCAGCAATTGAGACAAAAACGTGTGATGGGTGTTCTGCCTAACCTCTGGCAGCACCTCAGAAATGCTCAGGGGGTTCTGGCTACTGAAAGCACACGACTTACGGAAGCACATGCCTGAGCACATTGTCATCGCACTAACAGAATTCTGACATGACAACTCTGAAATGTCAGTGTGTTGTAAATTAAATTTGTTAGTCATTTAAGACCAGTTATCACCATGTTAGTTTTACAAGGGCAAAAGTGATATTGTATCATGCAGTATTCACAGTGATACAACGTTGAAATGAAAGTTAGTAACACAGAACACTTTCACCCTGTCTGGCTCTTAACCCTAACAATCTGTGATTGCATTACTAAAAAGCAAGGGTACATTCACATTACTCCCTGAAAGATTTACCTCGATATGTTCCTTGGTGATAAGCCAGGGTCTGTGAGCCAACATTTTGTTCAGTTCTCCTAAATTTTGCAGTTTTTGAGGTGCATTTTCCAGACCATTCAACCATTTAGGATCTCCACCGACATGAAGGAAGTCATTCACATGGAGGTTAACAAGGTAAGAGCACTGATGTCGTGCTGCAGCCTAGAAAGGAAAACACAATTGTGATACAGAAAACAATTACAGTAAGTTAGTGCTTTATGACAAATACCGTAAGTCATAATTTCCTCAAAATATTCAAGAATAAGACTTGCAGTGATCAAAGGCTGAACTACAAAAAATTGAGATTAACACATCAGCCTGTTTTGATTATTGTTCTCACAACATAAATATTCCTCATTCATATACATCACAACCATGCTGGCTACAGGTGCAACATGCCTACATCCAGGGAGAAGTACAGGCATAGATTTGTCGTATGTCCTGAAGCAAGTAATCCATACCGCAAAGTACTCTCCAGTGGGGAAGAAGCAAGGCTGCCTCTAGGTGAATCTTTACCAGCAAAAACAAAAGCAGGTTTTAGAATGCATACAGCAAGAGAGACTAAGAGCAACTTTGCAGCAAAGAATAGACCCAGTATCATTTCTTCAAACAGTAATACCTTCCCCATCAAATTAAGATACAGCCCAAAACTTTAATTCAACTTCAGCAAGCAAAGATCATTGAACTGGCAGATTGGAAATTATGAAATCAACTACTTCTGGCAGAAAACTTGCTTAGAATTCAGAGATTCAGAAACGGATGATGGGATGGACTATTGAGTTAGAGGGAGGTGTATTTGACAGGACACACACACAAACAAGCTTTCCTGAAAAACGGTTTCTGAGATACTAACGAAACCAAAAATAAACAATTGTCTTATTTTCATAACAGATTTTTTCCCCCTCTTTCTCAGAGTCCTACCGAAACTATGAACATAAAGTACTGGTCTTATGAAACAATTTGTAAACCAGACACAAACAAACCTACTCTGTTTTTCCCCTTAGCTCCTGATGAAATGCCTTTCCAACTAGAAACTGCAAAACACAGTAATAACTGCTATTAAACAAGACCAGAGACTGTTGCCAAAGTGGCTGTTTCTGCTTGCAGCTTTACGTTCCAGCATACCATTATCCCGATGTAGTGTCGGTAATGAAGCGGGAGTGGACCATCCATTTGCAGTAGATAGTGCTGAGTTTTTAGAAAGCTTTCAAGATACTGCGGGTGGAAAACCATCACCAAGGTAACATTGTCCAATCGGCCCAGTGTAGCAAAAGAATCTGCAAACAGTGTGTGCATCATGGCGTCTTCGTTTCCCACTTGAATTGTCTGATTGAACAGAAAGAGCAATTAGCAAAATAGTAAATATATTACCACAGCACCCAGAGGCCCCAGTGAAAGGAATTATATTATAAATCTATTAATGGCATTAAATCAATGCACATAAGGCAAGGCACATAAAATCCCTTTAACACCTTTCATTTAGGAGATCACAAGTGGTAATATCAGCAAAAGGAGATTTTTGGCTTTACACTTTTCTCTTGTACAACACTGATTTCTCATTTTTAACTGTCTCACCTTCACTTTCTTGAATGCCCCAAACTGATCTAACCTAGTTTATCGTAACAACAAAAAGCTAATTGAATAATCATTTCTAGTAAGGGAAAAAGAGGGAAAGAAGTAAAAAGCTAGCTAAGCTGACAAGAGAGAGAAATAAAAGGAAATTGAAACATAAGGCTCTAAAATAAACCACAGGCACATTACTAACTTTTCCTCTGCTCCAAATTCTCTTACCAGACGATCAGGAGAGAAGCACCAGAAATGCTCAGCCACAGCACTCTGAAGCTTCTCAGACTATTCAGAACGGTAGAGGCAGCTCAAGAAAAAGCAACCCCAGAGCAGGGGGGCAGGTGCCTTGTGGACCAGTAGGAACTTACATCCGGATGCTCACAAGGAAACAGACGCTCTGACAGAAAACAGTATTGGGTTTCTCTTATGCTAGATAGCAGTACAGGAGAGGTCATAACTATTCCAAAGGGCTCTCACTGCTTCTGTACACTAGAACTGTGGCCAAAGTCTCACCAGGACTGCATGTAATCACAACTGAAAATGTTTTGCAGCTCAGCAGCTGTCCTGAAACCAAATGTGGGTTACTACTCAAAGGGTGTTCCTTAAAAGCATAAAGTTCACTGTGTACTTGAAAACACTACCACACCTCCTTCTCGGGGATGAATCTGCTTGGTCCGTGTCCCAGTGGTCTAGGAATTCTTATTCCAAGTTCCTAGAAAATAAAATTACACCATCTCAGCATTTAGTTATAAACAGCTTTTTAGCTGTGGTTGCAACAAAGAAAAGAGTTCTCCGTCCAGAGCTGGGTTTATTTGGGTACTCATGGTACTCTTACACGGGTACTTTTACTAGTACCATTTGTACAAATGCAAATCATTTTTTTATACAAGTGCTTTATAATTAGCCACACTTGTTTACAGTGTACTGCCCCACTCCAGCAAGAAAAAATTCAACAACAAAGGCCCTGCCAACCGAAGAAAACACACACAAATTTATATGCGTGCACACACACTACAACCTGGTTCACAGAAAATTCTGCATAAAGCATATTTTGGCAGGGTGTCCAGGACAAGGAGTTCAGTACATAGCTGGCTGCTGTGTGGTTATGCCACTGATACAAAATGAGACTGATGTGTGTGTGCACATCCGCAGTACACCAGCACATAACACTCTCTGCATCTGTCAGGAAATGAAACAGCTGTAACCCTAATCAGTTTTCTTTTTGCCCAACCTCAAAGAGCTCTTAAACTGCTGAAAGTACCTGATCTACATTTGCATCTGCTTTCTTTTTAAGAAAGGATAAAAAGCTATTCATGTTTGGGAGGGAGGGAGGGGATTTTGCTCAATCAGAGCAGCAGCCGCCACATCCTTGCACACTTCTCTGGATATGTTGCCTTGCAGGTAAGAGGGAGGCTGGATACCCCTCCAGCAGTTCACTGCTTGCCCTCTCCCTCAGCTAGACGAAGCTTTCAGCCAGGCCTACGGTACCCTGGGCCCTTCGTGCAGCCAAGGAGCAAATTGCATAAAAGACTTGGGTGCATTTGTGTCCTGCCTGTGAAACCGTTCCCTTTGGAAGGCTGGGAGCCATGGGTTCAAGTGCAGCTTCTGTGTTTGGCATGGAGCAGCCCTCAGAGAAGGCACAGCAGGATCCATGGGGCATGTACCAAAGCAGGACACGGCCTCCCCTCACACGTTGACATGTGCCCACCTCCCCATCGCTACAGAGGCTCACTCCCTCAAGTGCGCAGCACTCGCTGCAAACCAGCTCTTCTGACGGGATTACTCCCCAGCCAGCAGCATGGCTTCCCCAGGAAAGATGGGAGCCCTGCCACCAGGTGCAGCTCCCAACGGGGCAGCTGATGGCAGGGTGCTCTTACAGATGGAGGGAGACCTGGGATTAAAGCCGGGGATGGAGCTGAGTACAAAACACTAGGCTATATATGAACTAATGGTTTGGGCTCCTTATCTGTTCCCTCTCCACCAGTGATCTTTTAAAACACATCCGTTGCCCCCATTCCACAGCCCAAACCACTCATTTTCTGATGATACCAACCCCATCCAGATTCTCAACTGGGTTTAGATGAATAAATACCATGTATTGAGCCAGTTCAGGCCACACAGAGCAGAGGGGCACCTTCAGCTAGTTTAGGCCTCAAGAACAAATGAAGCCCCTAAAAGCTGCCTGCCAAATGCAGCTTTTAACTTTGCTACATTTTCCCCACATAGATAAAGGCTGTTATAAACAAGCAATACTGGTCGCACTCACTTCTGCACTTTTTCTGTCTTTAGCTGAGGTTTCTATTTGCACGAGTTCATTGTACGAGAAGCAATTTTATTAATCAGTTACTGTTCCCTGAACTTTCCCCTAAGATTAAAAACCAGCTTCAGAGAGCTGGAAACAATCAGCGCAGGTCTAAGTCGGAACTACCAAAGCCCATCAGACCCTGACAGGCTCCTTAAATCCTAAGTCAGATGGCTTCATTTCTCAAGTCTTATTGGGATGAAGTGAGATCAAAGGGCAGCTCTTACCACTAGTCTTTTCACATTTTTCCTGGGACAGTAAAGTAGCTTTTTCCGGCTGAGGGTCCCAACATTCACAAACAAATTTTGCCTGTCAGCCAAGTCTCCAGCAATACCACTTGTAGGATGGAATTTATATCTTAAAAACACCCTCTCTCCTCAAAGCTCTAGCACAGCTTCTTATCTCGGCTACAACTACACTAGCAAATTAGAGAAACATCTTACATCCAAATGACAGCAAAAAAAGTCTGTACACATCATTTAACTTAGCAGATGTCTGCAGTTGTCTGCCAACTCAAGCACTCCAAGAGAAATACCTTGAAGTTTAATTCTCGAACAACTATGTTTCAGTCTTCCCCTTTCCCAGAACAGTTACAGGAAGAAAAAAAACCCCAAGATTTAAGAACCTGAGATCAGCAGGCTGCTAACATATTTTGCCTCACAGTCTAAAATACATCAGTATCAATACACTTCACATTTTTTTAACGCATGCAGATGTCAAAATACTATGATTACACTGCATGTAACAGCTTACATTACTTAAGTAGCCAAACCCTCCCTGCAAAATGGCTTAGGCTTTTTTTTGAGGATTGAGTAAGTTGCTTTGTTTTCCCTCACAAGAGAAAGCATCTCCCTGAAATCATGGCACCAGCCTAGTACTTGAGAAGCCTGGGTTCACATCACTCTTCTGACAGAGACGTTGCAAAGGATTTGTGAAGACGAGCCTCAGTTTCTCATCTGCAAAATGGGGGTAAATATGTTTCTTCCAGAGGATGCTGAGAACAGAAATAAGCTTGTTGTCATAAGGTGCATGTTTGCTTAGTCATGAGAGTTGTATAAATTCTGACCCATTAGAAAGCTTCTGAAAATTGTTATTCTTCAGTTACAAACTATGGCAGACCTTTTAAAAACTATTTCCCCCTCTTTTTCAGAAGCAGCATTTAATCGAGTTCTCCTAGTACTTGAGAAATAGCAG